ATTTATAATAAAACTCAACGATTATATACATATATATATATATATATGAAATATAGCATCTGGTTTTTTATGTAATGGATTGATGAGTAATTAAACTGTAGACAATCGTTCGAATAAACAAATCTACCGATAATATCAAACACATTCGAATGAAAATAGTTTTTATTACTTTTTACTCATTCACTGCGAGCAGTTCTTTACCTTATACTAATCGCACATTTTGTATCTATTAGAAGAAACAGTACTATACAATGACGTATATCAAGGATAGAGAATAAAGTATAAATTTAGTAAAAATGATTGGATGAGTATTGCTCATGTTTTGTCATGCTTATATATTATATTAAAAAAAATAACAACGCAGTTGTATTTACTATTTTATGAGTGAACTAGATTAGATAGAAAGTAGATGTTTCAATAATATCATTAAAATAACATATGATGAAATAGGGTGTGGTGTGGATGTAGGTGGGTGAGTCTTGATAAGAATAGAGCACTCACCCACGCCCAACATCATCTTTTTCTGAATTATTTAATTTTTTTTGGATCATAAACTTCATTAGAATACTCGGTAGTTTTTTTTGGAAGTTTCTTTCTTTTATTTTAATGGTACATCTGATACTCTCGTCTCTCTATTTGATTCCTAGCGATGTTTACATTTTTTCTCTTCAAATAAACATAAAAATTGATACAAAGTATAAATATAGTTATTACATGCTAAGTTTTTTAATTGTATTCGATACTATGCAAATAAGAATTGCAACTTTTGTTGTGTAACATAGAAAATAAAACATTCGTTTATTACTGATAGAATTGAAATAAATGTGAGAACAACAAAGTCAATATATTTATTTACTCTAAGTATTAAAGAGATCTTTTGTTATTTATTGGCATCTTCTCTTTTTCAATCATGTGTGATTGATTCATATCTTATATTATTTTCGTCTAACGAAAATATCGATTTTTTTTTGTAAGAATATAATATTTCTATGCATGAGGCTTTTATTTAGCTAAAATTACAGATATATTAGATAATGCGAGCTAGAACAATACTTTCGAACATTGCATGTAATTCTGCAAGTAAAATACTTAAAGACAATCTTCATGTACTATACAAGTCTATATGAAAAGGTAGTTTTATTTTATAATTTTATTAGGTTACTTAAAAAAAAATTTCAATTAATATTAGTTGTTAAATAGTCATTTTGTGTTGAATTATCAAAAATGAGAGTTAGGTGATTCATAATTATTCTGAAATGTATATTATCTTCTAATTTTTTAATTAATTCATAACATTCATCAGCTAATTCGATACATTTGTCTCTCGTATATTTAATTGATCCAAATTCATGTAATAATTTAACGACTTTTCGTTTTAGATTCATGTTATCTGTGCGTGGTTTAAGAATATTTTGAATTCGATTATCATTTGGACGATTTTGTATTGCATGAATAATAGGAAACGAATATTTGCCTTCAGTTAAATCTTCACAAAATGTCTTGTTTTGTGAATATTCCATAGAAATTAAATTACAATAGTCATCTCGAATTTGAAAAAAACAAACCAAAAGTTTGACATAGATCATTAATTGCTTTAGTTTTTTCTTCAGTATAAGATTAATTGGTGAACATATTCTTAAAAGATCTAGAGTCAAATGAAAAAGACCTCCACATTTATTGTCGATCATCTTATAATAGTTCTCTTCTATTGGATAAATGTTATTATCTTGGCACCAAATATCATATCCCTGTCCTTTGTGTAATTCAACCAAGTGATCTAAATAAATTAAGAAAATTTATTAAACAGGACAAGTTGTTGAAGAAACGAAAATCTGTGCATTATTGATTCAAATTCCTTCAGTTTCTTCACTTTTAAAAGAAAGAAAAATCTTACCGATTAAAATACGTCCGACATCCGGGTTATCTAAAATATATGCCTTTTGTATGGCAAGAAAGCACACCAATTCAGCAGCATTGATTGTCAGAGGAGTGCCATAAATTAAATGTGCCACTGGTGAACCTATCGCAGTTCGGAACCATCTTCAATACCATCTATTAGTAAGCTCGCATTGTGAAGCATGCCTATGATTTCATCGATAACTTCGAATTTTTCTTCGGACACTTGAAACCAATAATTAAACGCGTCAATCAATTTAGATCGAACGTTTTTGCCAGGCAAAGATTTTAAATAATTAAATGGCTCCGATATATCATCCTATGAAAAAGAAAAGAAATTTTTATTTTCAAGTATAACTTTACAAACAAGATTTTTACTAGATTTCCATAGCTATTATTATCCATCTTGTAGTGCATCTTGTCTATAAAAAGAAAAATTATACAGTAAAAATAATAAAATATTTCATAATATGATATTTAAAACATTGTCCCCACAATTTAATGTATTGTTCTCAAGTATTTAAAAATTTTCTCTACTCTAAACTCAACCCAAAAATTACTTTGAGTCAAATGCTCATCTTTATAAAGAAACAGCTAAATATAATATTAAAGTAATATTCATTCTTCGAGATAAATCTTCACCATACTAAATCGAAAAACGAATGCTTTTTAATTGTTCTATTCATTTCTCCTTTTATATATTTTCTTACTTTGAGAACCATTTAGTTGATAGACATTATGTTTGTCTTTGTGACTACTTGATGATATCTAATAAATGAGTCATAATGACATTTAAAAAAAATCATCTTTCTTTGTACCTTAGCATCCTTTTCTAAATGTATAATATTCTCTTGTACTGTTGTTTTCGGTGGTAATAATTTGATGCATTTTGTTCGTTTGACTTCTTCTCTTTCAGATCCAAAATATCTTGGTGTTTCGAAACTCCATCGAAGATTTCCTCGTAATAATTTGCCCATGCCATCCACAAATTTTTTCTATTTGAGCATCAATGTCTGCTCCCCATGAAAGTAATTGGCTTCGAAGACGTTCAAAGTGAGCATAAACATCAATAACCATTTGACCGGCTTGATCCATTGCTTGTTGAATGCTCGGTGATGGATTGGCATTCATAAGCACCGAGATTAAGTTATATTGATCCTTAGATGATTCATTATTGAATGAATAAATATCCTATTCATAAAACGAAAAGACAACGAAAAATAATAAATTTTTTATTCATACTTTGATTTTAATAGTCTATAATATAAGGTCAAAAAAATATAAATTTGAGTTTCTAATAACTAAATCGAATGAGAGACATTTTTCAACGCTGTCTGAAGTATTGTTTAATCTGTCATTTAGCTTGACAAGAACAACAGAAGTTAGCAACATTCTCTGATTCCTACTTTGTCTTCTGTAAAAATGATCTTTTACAACAATATCTAAAGAAAAATACAACTCACATTTGCCCAGCTACCAGAATCCATCATACATTCCATAATACATTTCAATGTTTCATTAGCCAAACATTCATCTGGTAGGTCAAAACCGAGAGAATATTGAATGAGTGTACATCCTATGAGTTCGTACATTGAATCATCCCGAAGTTCATTGTAAGTTTTTAGATCAGGTATTATCTGATGATCATTCTTATAAGTTTCTTGACGTAAAGAAGCTTCAATTGCATCTCGAAAAGTAGTTTTGAAACGTTGTTGAAATGTGGGTCTAGCATTGACGAGTATTCGCTGCCACCAACCATGAATAACTGAAGCAAATGTTATCAATGGTTTGAATGAGCCACCTTGTTGAAAAGAATCCCATATATTATAGAACATTTGTTGTTTGGCTTGCTCACTGATGTCGTCTTTGGAAGATGAATCAAGTATATAACCATATATAAATGCTGTTGTGCAGAGATCGCATAAATCGCGTAGTCGACTTCGACAAGCATATGGATAGACGAGTGCCTCAAGGAAGTTGAACTTGGTCTCCGACTCATCGCGAGAAATACCATGCGAAGAAGGCCAAGCATCAGTTTCCTTTGATATAACTTCATAGTATGGATTACATTCAAGCTCGAGAGAACAGCTGCTGATTACATCTGGTAGTATAATGATGTTAGCGTCTGAGGTTGTCATCTGATATATAATAAATAATGTAAAATTACCTATTTAATAGATAAATATCTTTTTCGTGCAGATACTTAATAGATTTATCTAAAAATAAATATATATATATATCAGTATCTGAGGTAAATGAAGATGGAGAAGTGTAGATACGCCACAAAATACCTTGTCTATGCATTGATCAAGGTCGCTTTCAGAAATTTTTTATCAGTATAATATTTAGTAAAACATTTTCAACTGCCAAAAAGTAAATTCTTTCTATTCTCACTATCTGTTGATAATGTGAACACAAACAGAAACAGCAATTGCAAACACTACAAATACTAGTCATTTATTTGTTAAATTTTATTAATTATATCATATTGTTCACATCTTAAGTAAAAGTACTAAATAAATAATCAATTACAATTATATGGATAATAAAACTGTATAAAATACTTAGCATAACGTCAATCATGAGAATAAATCAAAAAGAATTTGTAGAAAAATATGAAGTTTTTAAACTCAAATCGTAGGAATCTTACTTCATAGTATTTATATCTTAGAACTAATAGAATTATACTTACTTGTTATTAAGAAAAAAACAATCCTAAAGCTTAGTTTAAATGAAAGACATGATAAAACAGGTTGACTAAAATATTTAACATTCTTAAGTAGTATTTCGTGCAGGGTACTCACAACTTCAGTATAGAAGAAATGAACAAATTGAGTACGCGTAGAGTTCACATGCAAACAGTCGTTGTCCATCAGTACCAGAATAGGTTAGCAAGGTAATGACGAACGTATATTAGCTTCAATGTAAAAAATATGCATCTACTAATCCTTGGCAAAGCATGTTTTTCAATCATTTATACCTGCGTTATATCATAAACATCATTATATTCAGCAACAATCGTATATGTGAAAGAGAGAGAGAGAAATAAAAGAAAAAGCTATCATTTGATCATGCATTGTATATATGTTTATTCTGTTTCTTGTCTATTTATAAATCTTTTAGATTAAATCGAAAACAAAATGATGACGAACATATATTAGCGTGAGTGTAAAAAAGTGCACAGAGTAATCCTTGATAAAGCATATTTCTCAGTCATCTATACCTATACTATAACCTTGAACATCAATATATTCAGTAAAAATGTGATATAGGAGAAAGAAAAGAAAAGAAATTAATAATCAAACATACTAACGAAGCTATTCTTCATTTTCTGTACCATTTATGAATAATACTCTGTGAGGAATTTCATAATGTATCACTGAATAATAATAACTATGAAATAATGTACGATGTATTCTGATGATTAAAAAAAATTGTTAATAAATGCAAATGTCTATCTATTAGGATTCTATATAGACATTTGTTCAAGGCAAGAAATATTCTAAATAACACATAAATATCATTAGAATATTTTAAGTTAATTGTCAGAATCTCATCGAATACTATTTCGAAAGACAATGATATGCTTTATTTGTTTTTGTTTATGCATGCGCTTATTCTTTACAACCAATATGTAACTAAACCCCCCCCTATAATAGAAGCCCACCCCATATTAGAAGCCCCCCCGTATTAGAAGCCCCCTTTGGAAGGAGCAATATGAAAGATGTATTAGAAGCCCATGGGCTTGTATTAAGTCCGAGATTTAGAATTTTTTTCAAAATTTATAAATTTTCTTCTGAACATTCATACATTCGAACATATGTTTGTAAAGTAAAGTCAAAGCAATTCAATGTTGAAATTAGATATCAAACAAGCATCGATGTACATGACAGGACAATTCTTTGATCTTATTTAAGAACGACAAACTTAATGCATAACAATCAATCGGACACATCTTCAGATGTTTCATAATGTAACTTTTTGAAAGAGAGAAATGTATAGAATGAATAGGCTGAATAGACATATTCATACAAAGTATATCCCGACGGCATTGTTCATATGTCATTCAATTAAAATATTTTTTCTTGAATTGTTTATCCATTAACTATGTATCAAATCGAAGAGCATCTAGCGCCGTTACCAGGCGTTATTACAAACTCACTATTAGACGAATCCAGTTCCGACAATGATTCCTGCGTTGAAGTTACCTCTATTGTCGATGAAAATGAATATGAATTAATCAAATGGACTAATTATTTACAACTTAATTCAGACTTGGACGATGATAGCGACGCTAATTATTCTTCGACTCAACCTACATCACTCGTTAATTATTCGTCGTCAGAATCATCTAGTGATGATGAAAACTTATTACAATCATCTCATCAAGCTGCATCTTCTAATAATAACAGCACTGTCGATACTACATCTTCGTCAACATCAACTATCATTAAAAAACGTAAGCGACGTCAATGGACCGTAAACGAAAAATTAAATGCGATCGTCTACTTCGAAAAAAACAACAACAAATCTCAAACAGCCAATGATATCGGATGTGCTACAAAACAACTTCGTATGTGGATCAAGAATAAAGATGAATTAATAAAATTGTCATCTCAAAAGAAAGGTGAGGAGTTCATTTTTATTACATTTAAAAAGTAAAATAATTTCTAATTTTTTTTAGGTAAAAAACGCATGCGTCGCAATGGAGCTGGTAAAAAATTAACTTATGTGGACCTTGATTCTCGTCTACTTGAATGGTATCGTCAAAAACGTACTGATCCTGGATCAACAACAACACCTGTTGCTGATATTCGTAAAGAAAAAGTGACATTTCGTTATCTTCAACGTCGTGGACGACAATTAAGCCAAGAATTAAATCACGCATGTCCATCATCAAAATGGTTTGGTCGTTTTCTTGTTCGCCATCGACTTTCTCTTCAACGTCCAAAACGACAACAAAAAATTCCACTCGACGAAGTCCATCAAAAAGCTACTTCATTCTATAACTATCTACGACGAGCTAGTCGATGGGCTCCAAAACGTGGTCCAATGGGGGCCTTTACTGCTCGTGACGTATTCAATATGGACGAGTCTCCACTTGCATTATTCGGCGATCAAGCAAAACGATCAATTAATGA